AGCCGCCCAGAGTCCCCCATTGGGGGGAGATGAGTGGGGGACAAATTTAATAAATAAATAATAAATAAATATACCACCCAAGACCTCCTCAACATAAAAAGAAAATATAAGAAGTTAATTCAATATCAAAGAAACAAGCACTTAGGGAAATTTGGCATCCATTGATAGGCATACTACTACCAAACATTACAACCTTGTTTTGGCATCATATTGCCCTTTATCTCTCCAGTAGCCCATCTCAAGCTTCCTATCAAATTTCAGCTGCCAAATGGAGCACCATTTCCAGGCTCTGTACATAACAAATGATGCACTCATGTTAGATATAGAATTCACTATAACTGACAGCCTATATCCTCAATGGCCCCCCATTACATGTACTAAAATTGCAGAAGTGATCAAACAGCTCATCCCAGACAAAGCACCAGACATAGATCTGGTCACAGCTTAGAACCTGTGAAGCAATTTGGACTAGAGAATCCTGGAACTAGGCTCTCTGTTTACATAGACTGATCAGAAAGTGACAATTCCCAAAGATTGGGGTTTTGCCCTAATAGTTCTCATTTACAAAAAAGGTAGCCAGAATCTACCAGCTAACTACCACCCTATCCGTCTCCTCGGCATTATTAGCAAATTATATGCCAGACATCTATCCATGAACTGGCTATACCTAGAGAATATATTAGCCAAGGAACAAGCTGAATTTAGAAGTGGACGCTCTATTTTTGAACATTCTCTTATTCTGCAACATCTGGCAAAAACTACTTCAAGAGCATGTGTGAAGCTATATACAGCTTTCATAAATTTCAGAGCAGCCTTTGATTTAATTTCTCAGCCAAATACTTGACATAAGCTTCAGAACTCCTCTAGATACTAGGTTCCTTCTGCTTATCTATATGGCAATTCAACTATGCAGGTCAGATGCAGCCCCCGGGGTCACTATACCAAGGAGATTCCTGCTAACAGAGATGCATACTGGCACCATCATTATTTGTATCAATCTTTTAGTTGCCTAGATGAACAATCTTTCCCATCATCCCCCAAAACTGGCAGAGACGCATATAGCAAGATTCTTATATGCAGATGATGTAATTTTGCTCTCAAACCTATACTGGTCTCCAATAGAAGCAAATATGTGTAGGTCAGGGTTGAACTGTGGAGTCCTTGGGGTTCTCTGAGCTTGGTTCTTTTCTTGCAAATGTTTTGTTACCCGGCTAGGTGACATCTTCAGTGCTAGAATGGAATGAGGTTTGCTTTCTGTTTATATACTGTGGCATGCCCTGCCAGTGTTGGTGGGGGTGTGGGTTTTGTTTTGTTTTATTTTTTCCCTCTGGTAGTTCCTTGATTACGGTATTGTTTACTGCTTGATTGTAGTGATAATCTTGGTGTTAATCTCTGCTTATCTGGGTGATGATTGCTGGTGAGGAGATGC